GAGTCCCGGGATGATTTTTAGTCCCAGTCCACCACTGGCTACATGACCGTATGATCGCCCATATTGACGCACCTAATTCCTAAACTTCTAACAGATACAGCATAAACCGATCCTTCAGCCTCATATGAGCTCTCTCTTCAAAATTAAACTGTCATCGCTGTCTGAGCTTGCTGCTGTGTGCACCTTCGTTCGTTTACATGCAGATGCTGGGATCCTGAACGGTGCAGCTGGAGCGCTGACGTCACACATAATTTGGCGGGACTTGAAGAATCCCCGAGAGGATCCAGAAAATGGTCAACATGAAGGGCAGATTAATGATTATCAAAGTACAAATATCCAAAATCAGTTCAGTAACGGTTTTCAAGGGGAAAATATTTACTCAAATTGATGGGTTTGGATGATGGGGGAAACTCGTGTCACAGGCTCTTTAAGACAGGAAATTGTGATACGTTTAACTTCCTAACAAAAACCCTTCTACCAATTCTAATAAATGAATGAATGTTGTTGTTTTCATTACCTCGGTGTCAAGAATCAGGAATATCAAGAGTCAAATAACCCCCTCTGTCTCTTCCCCACAGACCCCACTCCCGAGGAACAGCCCCAGCAGATGCCAAACGTAAATGAGAGAAGAGACAATGCGACCAAGGAGGAGAGCGGGATGGAGGTGAACTGTAACGGCCACGCCTCGGCAGCAGAGAGCGAAGCCAGTGTGGAGGAGCAAGGGACCGAGCAGGCGAAGGAGCAGGAGGACCAACAGAATGCTAACCAAGCAGAAAGGAGCACAGAGACCCCGGACACGTTAAGTAACAAAGAGGAGCATCAGACCTGTAACGGCTCAGCCGAGGGTCCCGACCAGCAGCAGCCCGCCTCCCTCAGCCCAGACTCCGTCACCGTGGAGCTGAAGGAGAAGAAGGAGGAGGAGATGGACACTCAGGGGGAGGACACCAAAAGAGTGGAGGAAGACGAAGACAGCCAGGATGGTTAGTTAACCTTTGACTATTTAACTTTGTCTGTATAAGATACAGAACATATTTATTGTGTGTATTTTTCTAGAATGTAAATAAAGCCATAGGAAACTTGTGTTTGAGTTTTCATAGTCATTTCTGCATATGATATCACATATCTAATGTACATTACATTTATACAGCATGGTTTATTCATAATACATTGTCACACTGATATCACATTTCACAGCACATGCACTTCAGTATGAACCAGAATTGGACTTATTATTCACATGAAAGCAATACAATGAGAATGATCAGTTTTAGCTGGAGTAGCTCACTAAGTGTGGGTTGTACTGTTTTCTAGTAAGATTAAGCATTTACAGAAATGTGTTGTGATAGTAGGGTTAATACATATGTATCATCCTGGCCCATTGGCTCAGCAGCTCCATGGGTAGCTCTGTAATGGAATCCATAATAACCCTGCCTGTGCAAACTAAGAACCTTCCAGTAGCAGCCTCAGTCTACACAATGAAAACAGTGGACTTTGACTCCCAATTGTTGGAAAGACTGCACTTTCCTTGGTTGTTTCCCATGTGTCTTCATTACTCTGCCATTTGTTTCCCTCCTGCTTCCCAACCCCCACCTCCTCTCCCCTGTCTCCCTCTCCTCTCTTTAACAGGATCATCAGGCAATATGTTAGTAAACCCCCTGGACCCTCTTAACTCTGACAAGCTGCAGGTGAAGATCGCTGACCTCGGCAACGCCTGCTGGGTGGTGAGTACAAATCTACATTAGCGCTTTGTATTTGTCAATAAAGGACTCTGAACAGCGCTCTCTTTAAAGCTTTGTAAACACCAGCAGAATTAGTGTGGTGTGCATCAGCATTCACGACTCCTCCTCTCCTCCTCTCGCAGCACAAACATTTCACCGATGACATCCAGACACGGCAGTATCGCTCTCTGGAGGTGCTGACGGGAGCTGGCTACAGCACACCAGCCGACATCTGGAGCACAGCCTGCATGGTAACACACACACTCACTCACTCACTCACTCACTCACACACTCACTCACTCACTCACTCACTCACTCACTCACTCACTCACTCACTCACTCACTCACTCTCTATATATACATCTAGAGTTATCAATGTATTTATTTGTCTTCAAATCACATTGGTATCATTCAGGCTTCATAAAACCTTTCATATGCACATTCTTGCCTATAAAACATTTGCAAAGCCTTTTTATGTTTTGCACCGGCATGTTATTGTTTTTGGTCAGGATCGTGTTGTTTGTTTTCCGACTTGTTTTGACCACAAGTAAACACCTTTACATTTTTTCCAACGGCATCTTATCTACTGAAATACTTTTTTAGCCAAAAGGAAAACATTAATGTTCCGTAACTAATATCACAATTTATGTACATTGTGTTAGATTGCATATATATATAAAGTTACCCGAAGGAAAAATAAAAACATGTTCACCATAAATGGAATGCATTATCAGTTGGCTGAACCAATGGACACCAACTCGATGCATTACATTAATACACACAATGTTTACAATCATTTTGTTTTTCATTAGTGCATTTATTTTATTCCAATTCTACGATTTCAATCTAAATACTGCTATTTGGTACTATATTTTTTAATGTTATACATTTCTTCAAATTGTTTTCTATCTGTTTTTAATTTGTTTTATTTTTATGTATGCACCACAACACCAAGTCAAATTCCTCGTATGTGTTAACCTACCTGGTAATAAACCTGTTTCTGATTCTAAGACAAAGTTAAACAATAAGCTATAGTAAGGGAACCAGGGTCTTGACCTGAGTGACCAAACCATCTAAATGTTAGTGAGTTCATATAAGTGTGTTTTTTAATCCTCAGGCCTTTGAGCTGGCAACTGGAGATTACCTGTTTGAGCCCCACTCTGGAGAAGACTACTCGCGAGATGAAGGTCAGTGTGTGTCTGATATCAGGCTTTAACTAGAGCATTACTCCAATAGAGGAGACGTGCTGAAATGAGTTAATGCCTGGTTCTCATGGGAAGTTGTAGCCTTTAATAGTGTAAACTCTACAGAGTCTAAAACGTCCGGTCTGTTTCCCTTGGTGCTCAATCATCAGTGTGTGTGTTCCTCTTCCTCCCTGTAGATCACATAGCGCTCATCATCGAGCTGCTCGGTAAAGTTCCCAGGAAGCTGATCTTAGCGGGCAAATACTCCAAGGAGTTTTTCACCAAGAAAGGTAAACACACCCGCTCTGCCACCAGCTGTCTGCTGTCACTAAATCCAGTTAACCCTTCAAATATGCTCAGGGATCTGGTGCAGAAGGTCATATTTCCAAACAGCCATCTGCTCAGTGAGAGGGCAGAACGTGCAAATTAGGGTCCAGCTATTTCCAGTTCATGGAGGTGCTGTAGTGGATTCATTCCAACCAATAACACTTTCACAACATTTATATAATACATATCATATTTACCATTTTAAAAGGCTAAGTAGGATATTCCTAAAAATAAAATCTATAGAGATGCATAAATAGAATTCATCACTTATGGCTTTTCTGTAGTCCGATGTCAAAATGTGATATGTTCCTCCCAGGCGACCTGCGGCACATCACCAAGCTGAAGCCGTGGGGTTTAATGGAGGTGTTGGTAGAGAAGTACGAGTGGTCCAAAGACGAGGCGCACACCTTCAGCAGCTTCCTGCTGCCCATGCTGGACCTGGTGCCGGAGAGGAGGGCCACGGCGGCCCAGTGCCTCGCCCACGCCTGGCTCACATGCTAGAGGCCCGCTGAACCACAGGAGACATCAGGTCTGAAGACCCCCGGGGCTGGGAACCGTACAGTCATGTGACTGCATTGTGCCAGCATCCTCCTTTCCCAAACACACTTTCAAACACACAATAAAAAGAGCGGAGTCTTTATCCTCTTTTGGATTACACTGGTGATAGAATGAGATCCTGGTCCTCTTCCTATATTTATGGCTCTTTTTCATTACTGGCTGTAAAGGACTTATCAGCCTTGCTCTTTTTCTTCCTTGACTCCAGCTCTCTTTTCTGCAGCATAATATTCTCTGCATTTTTAACTATAGATAACAAACTGTGTCATTTAGAATGAGGTTGCTCTTCTACAAATGCAGAAGGCGACACGATGTTAACATTGCCCTCAAAACCACATACTGTTTTATTTTGTCAAACGGAGAGAGATGAGTCCGACTAATGACATGTCGTCGTGTTAGCTGTGCTCAGAACTGATCAGTGCGTAACGCTAATGGCCAATATGAGAGACTAGTAGAGTTCTTAGCACTGTTAAGTTAGCTATGTTAAAATACAACTTTTATACATTTATACAGAGGCAAGACTACATTACATTTCAGGCTCTGAAGATATTCGTCAAAAATCTCACTCTATTTTTCAGGAACTCCAAACTGTAATTTCAGATATTTTAAGTGTTTCTTTTAAATCCTTATCTTATGTTGTCTTAAAAAACACTTGTATACAAAATAGCATGGAAAAACCTCCAGATTCCTTTCCTACATCATGCACAAGACGACACCTTCATGCTCTTTTTATACCTCCATCATATTTTGCCTGTTAAGAAAGGCTTAATATAATATTCCCCACTTTACGGTCAAATCAAACTACATGTGCAGTGCACCAAAGAGTCTTCCTTTAGTCTCTCCCTCTCGGCTCTGTATATTAAAGACGCAAACTAAAGAGTTAAGCTATTTCTTTTACACTTTTTGAAAATGTCTCGAGGAACGAAAGCTTTGTTTTTAGTGTTTCAGCCGCACATGGAGGTGTTTGATTTGAAAACAGTAGATTGTAATAAAAACGAATGGTGTAATAATGCTTTGAAGCTTCTTAAGACCATGTTTGCTTGTTTTTCTACAAAGTCTCCTACTTCTGTCCATGACTCGGCTCTTCTTTTGTTCATTTTCTGTAGGTAATATTAATAAACATTTTTCAAAATTAACTAGCTTTTATCTTCATGATTCACCACTGCAGTGTTCCTGTTCTCTGAAACACATAAACATACAAGGACATACATCCCCGTAAAGTCTGTATTAACACACGTCATTATGAATCTAATGGGGGACCATACAGTAAAGCAATAACAGATCCATGATCCAAGTTTACTTAGAGAACAGTTAGGAGAGTATTTTATTAGGATGTCCAGCCTAATGTACAGGAACAGTTTGGTACAGAAAGTATGAGTTTCCTTATGTTGCTCTTCATATGTCAAAGCGGTGTGAACAGGTGATTTTGTGATGGATACTTTTAGCGTGTTGCTGTAATACCAATTTCTGCCACAAGAGGCTGAAGTGCACCATTACCAATAGGACTAAAGCATTAGCATATTTCTATTGGACTTGACCATGCACTCTTAGCACAAGGTGGCAATAAAATAACTCCCAATGGTTCTTTAAATACGCCGCGGTTATTAGTTTGCATGTCAAATGATGAACATGTTTAATTTGAATGGTGTCAGTTGTAAGAGTTTGTATAAAATGTATGACTATTCTCTCCAAAGTAAAAAGGAGCTGTATCAAAAAGTCCACATCACTAACTCTCCCTTGTTTTAGTGTAGAAATACAGTAGCAATCGGCTAACAAGACATGAAGTCATGAGGTGGACAGTGACTCCTCGCATGTTTTCAAAGTCTGTTAATAAGATGTCACAATGTCAAGGACAGGGTGAACGTTTTATGGCGAGTTATTTAAAGATTGTAATTAACTGTCCTGAAGCCTTGCAGTACGTGTGAATCTCGGGTCCGTAGTTCTCCTCATAAAGTCTTGTCCATCTCTTCCCTCCGGTGTCCACAGGGGGCCTAAGCATTATCTGAAGTTGAGAGAAATGAAGTTATCTATAGTTAAGAGAAAACATTAGAAAAGGAGATGTATTGCATCTGTCAGACACTAGTATAGATTTGTGTCGGCATACTAGATTGAACAAAAACACCTATGTAGAGCAAGCATGGTTAGCTATTAGCCGTTAGCAGCACTCAACAAAAAGTAGGATGCTGCTTGTCATATCATTAGAACTGGAAAAAACGACGTTTGATCTGATGATGCGAGGTGAAATGACAGTGGATGTTAAACATTACAGGTCATCCTCTAGGGAACATGAATGTACCATATTTCGCAGTAGTCCTTCCAATAGTTGTTGAGATCATTTAATAAAAAAAGTAAAATGTCTACCTTAAGGTTGTGCTGGAGGGAAAGTAACCCATCAAGCACATGTTGAGGTGTTTCACTGAAAAAGTGAACACTTTGACATGCTTGAGTCAGAGGATTAGTAGGATTCATTAAAGCCATGCATGTCTTTATAAAACTTTATGGCAATCCACTCAATAGTTGTTGAGATAGTTATGTCTGAACTTTTAGTCTCTGCTTTAACTCTTACACCCATCCCTCTGAAACATTTAACATTCATCCAACCGTTTTCATTCATTTTACATAATGTCCTCTCCATTGGAACCCCCTCTCTTCTTTTAACATCCACACTAATACCCTCCTCCAGCCTGTCCTCCTCCCCCCTCCCCCCCACACTCTGGTACCTTTCCCCTCCACCTGGAAGTCCTCTGGCAGCAGCTTGTCCTGCCGGCTGCCCAGGCTGAAGGCCAGGAAGGAGAGGATGAGGGAGTCCATGATGCTGATGATGGCCAGGATGTAGGCCCAGCGCACCGTGCAGTTGCCCAGAGTGTATTTGTCGGTCCGCTGGCCACACATGCGCTTCACCGCTTCCGAGTCCCAGCCGTCAGGATAGATCATGCAGCCAATCACCATGCACGTGCCTTAGACAGAGGGGTGATGAGATCCAGTTAAAAAGCAGGTACTTTTAGCTGTTTGTTTATTCAATCGCACAAGGATTTTGATATGATAAACCTGTAGAAAAAATACAAAAAGTACTTTTACTTAAGTACTTTCTTTTCAATACATTTTATACATGTCCATTACATTTCAAAGGGAAAAGTTGCACTTTAACTGCACAACATGTATTTGGAAGCTTTAGTTACTTCTCACTTTACAAATCAAGTGTTTTGCATGCAAACATATAAAAAGGCTTAACTTCTCAACAGTAACTACAAGTTGAGCTGAAACTATTTTTTTCTGTTTGTCATTTTTCGTGTAAATACACTAAATACTTAATTGTTCCAGCTTTTACAGACACGTGCTGCTCTTCCTTCTAATAATTGAAATGTAAGTTGTAATACTTTTTGAGATTAGAACGCTTGGTTTTACAAACTAAACATTCAGAAAGTTCCACTGAGATTAATACATAATATAAATGATCACAACAACAAATGCTCTTAAACATGCTTGATGCATTTTGATCTAATTACATATTATTAAATAGTACAACTGCTTTAAGTTCTTTAAAAGTTTCATTTAAACATATTTACCAGATAATATTACAGACTTTTAATAAATACAATTTTCAATGGAAAATTATTATCACAGGGTGGTAGGCCTATTTTAACTTCCACTTAAGAAAAGGATCTGAATATTTCTGCACAACAAGAATTTTGTTTGATGTTTATATTTAACGTTAACTGGTTCAATATTTCTGCTTTTCACCATCAATATCAACAACCACCATTTAAAAATGCAATACCAACACAACCAGAAAGAAAATGAAATAAATTCTTCACTCATTCAGCTGCCCACATAAAGAGACACATTCGCACATGCAGGTGAGTTGCCTAGCAACACCAGAGCATCTCAACTCCAGAGATTGACCTTGTTCATCCATTATTGACTCTGCAGAAAGACAGCCGCCCTCGTGCCATCCCACCACAGCATTCACGTAAACTATCAGGTGACGAGACACACCTTCACTTTCTGAGCCTCACACACACTTTCGCCTCCACAAAGTTGTCACACTCACTTTATCAAGTCTGTTCCCTACAAGACAGACGCACACACACACAGAGGGAGAGGAGAAAGTGTAACGGCACACCTCGAGGTTAATCTCATTATTTCATTACAGGCTTGTCCTTTCACTTACAGCTACATCTGTTCACAAGCTGCTTCATGTTTCAGAAACAGAATCGTGTTTCACTTTCCTCTGTGAGCAGCGTGTGTTAAAGGGAACTACTGAAATGGGTTTGCTGGATGTTGTACCCAAGCTTAAATAATATTCCACTCACATATTACAAAACAAATATCTAAATCTATATGGATTTTGCATGTGCGTTTTCTTGTCTTTCTGTTCGGTGGTGTTAATTAACGAAAACACATTGACTCAAGTTATTCACTTTTATGCTGATTTAAACTTCAACTCCACCAGATTTCAGAGGAAATGTATTGAACTTTTACTCCACAACATGTAACAACTTTAGATACTTTTACTTCCGGGCTGGAGATGTCGGACCTGTGTTTTACAATCCCATTAGATACATTAGTTAGGAATAACTGGTGATGTAAACATTTGAACACAATACTTTGACATGTGACAATGTATTTCTACAGTGTAGCATTTCCTACTTGTCTGAGGAGTACTTAAGACTTGTTTAAAAGATAAACAGCTCATTGGAAATCAGAAACTGACATTTGGTTGGGTCCTTTCTTTGGGGGTAAAGTAGGAACAATGGCTAAGGTTAATTGTTATTAGGGTGGCATACCTTTCTCACTAGTTTGGTAAGACAAGTATGCTCGTGTGCAGACATAAAGAAACTCAATATACACAGATGCCATCTTTTGGAGCTATACTTTGTAAGAATACAATTATGTTTTTTCACATTTTTTGTAATGCATTCTGCTTGTCTATGACATGTTGTATCTTATAGGCATATTTTAAAGAACATTAGGATTGTAATGCACAATTCAAAATCTCATTCAAGAGGCTATATGAGAGAAAAACAAAAGTATGTTTTTATGTGAATCATACAAAACTCCAGCTCTTTTTAGTAGGACCTTCCATGTGCTACACAAACGTTAACCAAACCCTGCACGGGGCTCACTGGAGGCCAGCTGCATCCAGGCGCAGATCTTGTAGACGCTCCCTGCGTTGCAGAAGAAGAAGAGGCTGAAGCAGACGATGCTGCCCACCACCAGTAGCATGGAGATCCCCACAAAGAACATGGCGGTCTTGAACGCACCGGACGGGATGGAGCCGAAGTCCATCGCGCTCCCTTTGCAGGTGAGCTCCGAGGTGAGCGCGTTCCCGATGCAGTAGTGGAAGAGGCCAAAGTATCCGGCCTGCGGCGTGTGCACGCTGTCCCCGATCCAGTAGGGCTGTATGAACACCACAACGGTGATGACGGCGAAGGTGATGGTGAACACCTGCCACAGCACCCCCACGGCCCGGGCGTTACGCACGTAGTTGGTGTGGTAGATTTTGGCAGCCTCAACAGCCGGGAGCATGGCGACAGAGAGGGCTACACAAATTAAGAAGTCCCTTGGATGGTGTTAAAAGTAGCAAAAGTCACCTTCTTTTGGTGTTTCTTACTTCTGTGAAGCTGTTAAAGAGTGACCAAGAGTATGACCTCAAGAAGTGTCTATGTTTAACTTCACTAATGTCACCACAGAAGTCATACATCTCCATAAACTAACATATCCCAGCCGCAGTAAAGGATTTGTTCAGAGTGTGAATGTGAGGATGGCTGTACCTCCCCTCTGTATCAGCTAACAGTGCCTTTCCTCTCCGGGCAATGCATATTTAATGGTTACAAGATCTGCAGAATAGAGTAACACAGGTGGCAAGCAAGGTTTTCCCACTTTCACTTTTAAGGGCTTTGGATGTATTTACTTTCCTTCTTTATTTCAGATGTCTTTGTTTAACCAACACACATTTGTTCAGATAAGAAACCGTAATGCAGATGCACAGCAACTCAGCCAAGCATTGTGGTCAGCCTTACTTATAGATTCATGTTTTAATGTCTGTCCACTAAAATTATACTCATATTAAATGTAACTTCTTTTATCATCTTTTTGAACTAACAATACTTCTTTGACAGACAGACACCTTCATGATTATACTGAGTTAGACGGCTGGATATTAATCACTACCATCACTAAGTGTGTTATTCCTATTCACAGTCAGTATAAACACATGGAACAGTTGCTGCAAACAACAACTGTTTACATGTGATGCACATGTGATTATTGTTGTAAGGAATGTGAGCCTATTCTATAACTCAAAAGACTGAGCCAGTAATAGAAAGAGACAAACTTACTAGTATGTATGACTATCTAACACTAGATGGAGGTACAGAGCTTCAGTTTAACCAACATGTTTCTCCGTTACCACCTAAATTACAGTTTTTAGGAAACCAGAAGGAATTGCACTTTGTACCTCTATATCCCAGATGTGTTACCATAAAAAACCACAGGGGTTTCACTTTTGTACTCGTGAAGGTCTTGTGGATTTTGGTGGTGGTGAGTGCTGGTGTCAAGTGTCAAGGGTTCACTGGTGATAGAAATATTCTAATTGTTTACTTATGTATGTTTAGTTGAAATTCCAAAGCACTACATTATATGGCTAATATTATTACTGATGTGTATTTAGCAATTCAATGTTGTGCCTATATTTTATAACCTTTCCTTTGTCAAATCTGCTAAGTGACTGTTAACTATAGCTGTTCAATAAATAGAGCAGAAAAAACAGTTCCCCCCCCTGTGAAATATATTGGCCAGTAAACCCATAAATGTAACTGTGATTATAGTAGAAGAGGATGTTACCTTTTCTTCCTTTTCCTGATGCATGCGTATTCACCTATGTTTTGTATTAAATGTGTGTTGTGTCCATTATTGAATCTGTTGTATTTATCCATGCAACATTAATGTATTACGGCAGACAAAGCAGTATTAAAATTCTTGTTTGTGGCACTTTTGTCACAGTCACACGCCATTATTTCCCTCCAGCACAGCAGCATGCGTGGTTGGCCCACATACTCCTGTACTGTGACAACATATGAATGCACAGAAGAAGCCCTTTCACATGACTATAGCTTACATAGTTGACCTTGTGGAAGCTTTGAGATCCTAATGGGCCAATACTCAAGTGCCCAATCCCCTGGCTGACTGAATAATGTAATAATCTCAGAGCCTGAATTCTGACCTTTAATCCCTAATGTCCCATGTCAGTGACGTTTGCTCATCTCAGTTTAGTCCCACTTAATATTTTTGTTGTTGTTGATGTGGTTCATGTAATAGGTGGTTGATATATAGATCCGCAGTGTCTTTGTGTGTGTATGAGTGTGTCAATGCACTTAGCTTTATTAAGTGATGCCGCCCCAGAGTGAGGGAGGTTGTTTATAATCAAGTTATTCAAGAGCAGCAATTCAATTTTCCGATACAAAATGGAGTGAGATTTTGTGTGTGTCCTTGTGTGTTGCTGGGATTTACTGCTTGCCTTCAAGTGCACATGTGTGTTTTAATTGTGTGTATGTGCATGCCTGGGTTTCTTCCATGAATGCATAATGAGATCAAACCTTTTAGTCACAGCGCTTTAAATGGATCCATTCATTTAAATGTTTCCTAACAGTGAAATGGCACAAATCATGAGCAAGACACTACAATACTGGATTGTTTACATAATGGTAGATTTTGTAAATAAATGCAATATATTCAACAATGTGCACACACAGAGTATTGTAAAGGATTTATAAAGCTTTTATGGCATCAAGTGACATCTAGAACGCTGGTGATGGTCATAGTATCTTCCCATTAGCCTGAGGTAGAAGTTGTGTGTGTGATTGAACCTTTAGATCCTCTTTAGGCAATCTGAGAGCACAAAGAGGCTTTTCTGCCGTTTCAGCATCTCTTCCTGTCCCTTTCTGCCTGCTCTCTTTAGAGGCTGTTTCCATAGAAACAAGTCGCAGGATTCCCCCCTAAAAGATGAGTGAGGAGGTGATGGGGCAAGATGATAGAGCATTTAACCACATGAAATAATTAGATAATGATACTAGTTTAGAGACAGATCATAATGAGAAAAGCTCTATGAAATCTTAAAAATCATTGTTGTATTCAACTACATTCTGGTTTAAAGGGCTGCCACAGAGCTCACTTGGTAGGGCTTTGGGCTCATGTTTTGGGCTCCTTTTGTGTGTGTCATCCCCTCAATCTCTCCCCTTTCATAATTTGTCTCTCTAAAAAAGTCTTAAACAAAATAGGATTTCAGAAAGTGGACTTTTTCCTCAATCCAAAATGTGAATAAATGTTGAAAACTGCATTGTTATACACAACATTGTTACATATTCCACCCTGGTGTATTTTGTCTGTACATTATGGGTACCAAAGTTTGGGGTAACAGAGAAATAGTTTTTTTTTAATGTTTAAATTAGTTGGCGCAGCTTGTTCCTTGGGCTGTGTGTG